TTTGTTCGCCGGGTCTCAGGCAAGCTCACCTCTCTCCTCCTGTTCTCCTAAGAGTTCTCAGCATGTTCCTGAGTGTCGGGAGGAGTCCAGAAGCCTGGGGGTGGGTCTCTCTAGGGCTCTCCCTCTGTGACAGGAGCGAATGACTTGCCTGCATCTTCCCTCGTTAGAGCTAACAGAGATATGGGCATGCCTGGGACGCGGTGCCGAGCACCAGGAACTGACACTTTGTAACTGACTATATATACTTCAATTAAAAAAAAAAGATTTAATAGAGGAGTATTCATTCTTTCCCTAAAGCTATTAGTGAAGTCCCATTGTTCTGGAATTGCTGAAACAATCATTTCTCCTTCAACCCAGGATGTAAATCTTGAGGAGACAAAAGGAGCTGTTGTGAGCGTAGCAATTTCGTCCCAGGGGAGAGACCCTCAGAGCCAATTTTCACTGAGCGACAAGATGCTTTTAAAATGATATGCAGAGTAGCTGGGCTGCGATCTGTCTTGGCATTTAACATTTTGAATGGCCTTTCTCCGATCAGCTCTTCTTTTGACAGGATTTCATCATTGTAGTTTTGCTCTGTGTTTTCAAGTCACTCTCTTGTTGTCTGGACATGATGCGACTTTTAACTTAAAGCAAGATTTTAAATCCCACTTTGTCCTGAACCTGGCTTAGACACAGCCTCTCTGGTCCTGAGGGGCTTTCGTTAAAGAAACAGAGAAGAGACAAGAATGACAAAGAAAAGTGGTGTCTGAAATAAAAGATTCATTTGTGATTACTTAGAGGCAAACTTGCAAAAAACTGCATTAGGATAGTACAGAAATCCCCAGGGCTGTGCTTGATAAATGCATTTTCCCGGTCCTCTCTCTGTCTCTCTGTCTGTCGGTCCCTCTCTCTCTCTCTCTCTCATCCATCTCTCTCTGTGGGACTGAAGTCAGAGGCTACTTCTCACCACCCACAGCCCACCCACTCTGATCATTTTCTGTTTGGAATGAAGGTCCCCCAGCCTCTGCCCGAGAGGAATAAAGTCTCTTTCTTCCATCATTTTCAGCCGTATATTTTTTTTCTTCTTTAGAGGCTTTCTAAACAAAAATTATACTGGGATTGTGGAAACAGATGAATTGACTCACAGAAAATTTTAGTACTGTGTCTGGTGTGCAGCAGAGCCTTAAAAAATATTGGTTGAATAATTACACGAATGAAAGCTCGGACTCAGTAGAGAGAAAACCAGCCCCAAACAGGTGCCGTGGGGGAACAGTTTTACAGGCTGCGTGGTTTTACTGCTTTCATAGGTGGAAGCAGGGTCAGGGCCCCGTCAGACCATCTCATGGTACCTTCTGCTTTTTCCCTTTGTAGCGTTTTCTACGTCTGCTTGGTGACTTCTGGCGCAATTATTTGCTGCCTGAATTTCTCCACCATTAGATTGTAACTTCCATGAGGATGTCTGTTTCGTTTGCTACTGAATCCATTGCCTGTGTTCAGCACGGTTCCTGGTACCGAGTGTTGACTCTGCTCAGTCCTCAGTGTTTAGGCTTAATCATATGGGCTCATCAGTGGGCTCAAAAAATATGTCCCTCCCCCAAAAAAGGGCTTAACTAGTATTCGAAAAATGAGCACGTAACTGCCAGCATAGTGACTACTTCTAGAGTTCTGCCTGGCTTACCTTTAAGTAATCACTAATTTTTTTTTAATTGAAGTATAATCAGTTTGCAATGTTGTATTAATTTCTGGTGTACAGCAGAGTGATTCAGTTATGCATGCATATATATATTTATATATACATATAAATTTCTTTCCATACACTTTTTCATTATAGGTTATTACAAGGTATTGAATTAAGTTCCCTGTGCTGTACAGTGATTGCTAGCACATTGTGCCTCCTTCAGTGGCAGGGATGCCTGTAAACAATTTAATCTTGGATAAATCGTCAGGCTGGGAGATTACTCCTGGGGTCTTGTTGACGCTTACAGCTTACTTACATCGCCAACACGGTAGACTCATTTTTCACCCCTTCTTTATAAATTCAGCATCTTTGGACTCCAAATTCACGGAGTTTTTTTCGGTGTATTGGGGCAACAGCAGGAAATACATCGAATTACTTACATTTTTGGATAATGATATTTGAGTAATATGTCCATTAGCATTTTCATAAGGCCTAGGAGTGAGACAGCTGGCAGGAGGCTGGCATTGAAGATGTGGATGGCTACGCTGTTTCATCGTGGCGCCTCTTCACTCCACTTCCCTTCTAATTATTTTACAGTTCTCTACAGCCTTTTCGAGGTGGCTACATTTAAATTTGCTACCACACTTGAAGCAGCAGTCTCTTCCTTGCTTAATGTGGTTTGGCAATTATTTCTGAGGGAAATTATGAAAAACGCAGCCTTTAATCGGGGGAGAACAAAACGGTGCACAGAGCCAGTGGTGAGAGATGGTTTCCATTATAAGAGCCTCGTAATTGTGTAAGGGCAGTCGGATCTCCAAAGGTTGCAGCAAGACGGTGGAATCTGTAATCTCTGAAGATGTGTGAACTGACTCACGCAGGGATGCCTGAGCGTACACGGAGTCACACTCTGGGCTCTCGCGTTTGACCGGGGCCCTGCTTACTCTTTGAAAGGGCCACTTGTCTAAAAGCAAGGATGATGTTGTCCTTCCACAGCCCAGATCCACTTAACACACTCCAGCGACATTATTTGGGCATTTTTCACAATTATTAAAGATAATTCACTTTTCTCTGTAGACTGTGGTTCAAAAGGAAATTAAATCCATGAATTTCGTTCCCTTGTTTTCTCGGATGAGTCAGAAGTTACTGGCCAAGCGCACACATGGCCTTTCTGTTAAGCTTAAAAACCCAAATGGCCTATTGAAGAGACATTTGGCCAATCTGATTATTTTCTTCCTGCTAATTGGTTTTACATCTTCATTGAATTGAATGAATTGCCTGGTGGTTTTGTCACTGTGGGGACACAGCTTAATCCACTTAGAGCGAGGTGCTTGTGCTTGGCAAACTGGGGGTTCTAGAAGTGTTTGTCATCATTATGATCTTTTGGTGATTTTTCGTAAGTGAGGATGAAAGTGTGTCTCCAAGCCATCCACTTTCTCCATTTCTACTTCCACTGCCCCAGCCACACTGAGGCACCTGGCCCCCAGACCACCCTGCTGATCTTGTAAATGGGCTTCCCACCCCTTCCCCCAACCTGCACCCACCCCAATTTAGTCTCCGTATAGTGGCAATGTGCATCTTTAAAAGATGTAGACCTCTTGCTAGGAACACTGGCTTCTTCACAAGGAATGAGGAGTAAAATCTGAATTCCTTCCCACGGCTGCCTGCACCCTGCAAGATCCGAGCCCCCATTGGCTCCCCTGCCTTCATTTTGCCCCCTGCTCACGCCCATCCTTCCACCACGGCCTCCCACTGGTTCCTTAATCCCTCAAACTCCTTCCCACCCCATATCCCTGCATCTGCTCCTCCTTTATCTGGAATGGCCTTTGAGGGCTGGTTCTTTCTCGTCCTGCAGGTCTCATTTCAAGTGTCACCCTTCGGGAAAAGCCTTCCCCTATTAGGTAGACCAGTTACCTGCAGCCCCACTGTGCTCTGTAATACGCCCTTGTGGGCTGTTACTCTCCAGAACACCCTGTTCATCATCCCTCTCAGGAACACTCGCCCCTCTCTGCTTACTGCCACTCTGCCGTAGCCTCCGGTTGCTCTCTGGAGTGCCCCGCCCTGTGTGTATTCCCTTCATGACCCCATCAGGCCTCGGTTGTCTTCCCCGTTGGAGCAGAGGCTCTTGAGGGTCAGAGCGCCTTGGCCTTGTTCTACGATTCCTCGGGACTGAACATGGGGCCTGTTTCCTTGAAAGGGCCCAGGGCGTGTTTGTTGAGCAAGTGGATGAAATACCAAATTCCTGGTGCTGAGTCTTTAGGCAGTCCCAGGGCGTGGTGCTCAAGGGAAGGTGGAGCTGTGTCTTTAGGCAGTCCCAGGGCATGGTGCCCAAGCGAAGGTGGAGCTGTGTCTTTAGGCAGTCCCAGGGCACTGTGCCCAAGCGAAGGTGGAGCTGTGTCTTTAGGCAGTCCCAGGGCACTGTGCCCAAGTGAAGGTGGAGCTGTGTCTTTAGGCAGTCCCAGGGCATGGTGCCCAAGCGAAGGTGGTGCTGAGTCTTTAGGCAGTCCCAGGGCACGATGCTCAAGTGAAGGTGGTGCTGAGTCTTTAGGCAGTCCCAGGGCACTGTGCTCAAGCGAAGGTGGTGCTGAGTCTTTAGGCAGTCCCAGGGCATGGTGCTCAAGCGAAGATGGTTGGTATTAAGGGAAAAGTTGTCGCCTCCTTTCCTAAGTGTTGCACCTTCTATGAATTCTAAAAGTGGATTTGCCCAAGATTCGTGCCCCTGATCATCTAGGAACTGACCCTTGGTGTTTGAGAAGTAGGTCTGTTCTTCTGATTGAAGTTGGAGGACAGCAGATAAGAAACAAAATTTCTTCTGTAGAGCACAGGGAACTATAGTCAATATCTTGTAATAACACTTAATGGAAAAGAATATGAAAATGAATATATGTGTATACGCATGACTGGGACATCGTGCTATGCACCAGAAACTGACCCACTGTAACTGGCTATTCTTCAAGTAAGTAAATATGATGGAGGCCAGAACACCACATTCACTCCTGCCCACTTTCCTCTAAAACCCAGAAGTTAGTGAAGAAACACAGTGGTAATGCCCAGGCTCACGGGGACAAAGCGGCTGAAGAAGAAATGGGGCCAGAGTTGTGGGGCTGGAGTGTGGGGGCTGAGTGGTCCCTGATTAGCAGACCCAAGGAACTCAGTCCTGATTTAAAGAGTGGAAAAGCCCTAGAAATTCAGAAATTCGTGAAACCAGGTGGGGCTGGAAACAGGACGATGGACTGATAGACTCAGCAGCATTCAGGACCCCCCCCCCCCAGTCTCCAACCCCCAAGTCTCCCCCACACCCCTGCTTCTCAGAGCCTGGTCATGTCCCCCACTCTCACCCCCACAGAACAACTGGGGCTTCATCTCTGGAGACTCTAAGATGCTGGGGGACACCGGGCACTATACATTCAGCAGGAAGCGAGGGAACCATATTAAGAACGTAGGGTTTAACCAGAGGTTGGCTCTGCATATTGAGCCCCTAACTCTCAATGCCAGCTCTGGCTGCAGGAGGCTGGCAGCCTGCCCTCCACTTTCCAGGCAGGAGACCAGAGGGCTCCTCGTGCAGAAGCCAAGCAACCCGCGTGAAGGACCCAACAGAAATTGCTTCAGGGTTTCCCACATCAACGGGGCGACCAGATAAGCCTGCAGGGAGGTCCGTGGTTGACCGTTACACTCGTAAAGCGTTCCTAGCCAGCTTTCCAGTGCCTGTTTCTTAAAACACGGGCAGATGGTTAAGATTGCTGGGTATCTCAGGGAAGCCTCTAAGATGAAAGACAGAGAGAAAAGCAAACAGAAAGAGAGACAACGTTAGGGGCAGGCAAGCTTTAACCGTAACCACGATAACAGCAGATCGTGACTAATATTGCTGAAGGTGGAAGAGTCAGTGCTGGAGCCATGGAGTAGTAAAAGGATTCTATAAAGAAAGAATGATAATAATTAATAACCGTAAGAGTGAGCTCTTGGAAATTAAAAACACGATAGCAGAAGTAGACCCGTACATGTTGGAATAGAAAGTTGGAGTTCCCTCAAAAGTGAAAGAAAAAGACAAACAAATAGAAAATAGGAGTTAAAATAAGAAAAATGGAAGATTAGACCAGGAAGGTCTAATAACCTACTACGAGCTGTTCTAGAAAGAGAGAAAAGACAAAAACCTAAGGAAACAAAAATATGTCAAAGAAATAACACATTTTTCTACAACAGAAGGACATGATTCAGATTAAAGGGGCCCTGTGAGCGCCCAAACAGTGAATGAAAGCAGCCCCAGGACTGTGGTGACGCTGGCACAGAAAGGAGCCTGGCAATTTCAGGAAAGTGAAAAACAAAAAGGTTTCCTCCAAAGGATCGTGAGCCATAGATCATGTTGGCTCCAGACTTCTCAACAACTAGAGCTCAGTGGACCCATGTCTTCAATTCTGAAGGAAATGGAATTTTAATTCACACATCATACCCAGACAAGTGGCCAATTAACATCTAAATTGTTTCTTACGAAAATACTGGAAGTTTTGCGTTAAGAAAGGATACAAAGAGAATACACCCTGGGAAAGTAAGCTTGGGGGCCCAAGGACCAGGGAGGTGAAGAGACTCGCCAGGAGGGGGTGGAGGGAGATGGATACAGGGGCCCAGCCCTACACACAAGCAGTGGTCCTCTGGGAGCAGGTCAGAAAGTTTCAAGAGAGGTATTTCTAAGGAAAAGAAATGAAACCTAATGTGTGAAATAAAAGGCAATTGGGAAGGAGGTTGGAGGATGAGTTTCAGGAATAAGTCCATAAGAAAACAAAGCGAAAGAAAAAGACAGAGTAATTATTAACTCCAAGGAACAGCGTATGGACAAGAAAGGCAATTATAGTATACCACCTGGCTCAGCAGCGACAAGCATGTTCCTGAACATGCTCGTGGGAGCATCGAATCTCCTGAGCAAAAGCATGACATCAGAGTCACATGACTGCTGAGAGGAGAGGCGGGCGGGCAGCGCGCGTGTGTGCGGGGCTGTGATCACCCTCACCCCTCCTCTCCCCTCATGAAGCCATGGGCTGTCTTCCAAACCAAAAAAAGAAAGAAAAGAAAAAGAAAAGAAATCAAGAAGGAGTGCTATAAGCATGTTATTAGTAGAAGAAGAGAGAAACAGGAAAGGAATCCAAAACGGGAAGAGATGCGTGGGTGGGCAGGTGTGGCTGTTTTTCTTAAGTAGAAAGACTTGACTTTTAAAAACTCTGTGCATGTGTATAGTTAATCAAAATGCAGGCAGACTTAGAAGTGGGTCTGAGGCTGTTCTCGGGTGACCCGGCCCTTTTAGAATGTTGTTCTGATCTCCTCCCATGATGGGATGTGCCTGCTCTGAAGGTCTGTGGTCCTTTGGGCCTGCACCCCAGGCCAATCTGATAACATGGAGGAGAGAGGAAGGATGAGGGGTGCGGGAAGGCAGCTCTTCCCTGGAAAGGGAGATGCTGGTGGGGGTGTTGTCGAGGCCGCATCTTTGTCATCTCTCTCCCCCTACGGATCACAATAACCACCACAAAAACCAACCCCCACTCCTGCTGTCAGGGCTCCGATGGAGACGAAGACTTCCTAGGTGACAGAGGAGATAATTTCTGCTCTCGACCCCCAGTTGTACGGCGAGAGAATTCAGACTAATCCAAAATTAACCCTTGGGACCAGGAAGATGACTTCGATGAAAAAAAAAAGCCACATGGAATTTTTTTTAATATGTAATTAAGGGATTTTGCTGCCTTGGGAATTGGTTTTGCCCCTTTTTGACCTTGTGAATTGGTTCGCAATAACTGAGTTCCTGTGCACTCCACAGGAGCTGCTGCTAATGAGCTCGGAGCTGGTCGTGGAGATGCAGATAAACTCCTAGGAGATTACTGCTGGCTGATTGTATCATTTCAGCTGTATGTCCATGTGCCCCCCCCCCTTTAGGTCCAAGTCTGTCAAGAGAGTCATCTTCGGTCGCCTCAGAAGCATCTCTCTGCGGCGGTCACGGAGAGAAAGAGAAGGAGGAAGACAGACACACTTCAGGAGGTTTCTCTCCAAACCCAAGTTCAGGAACTGTCGGGGAAACAGATAGACCAACTCTGAAGGTGGGAATGGTGGTTCTGAGCTGCCTCTACCTATGTCTTGTCTAGATATTTGGCTCTTTGTCTCTTGTTAGTGTCCACTGTGGCAAAAGTCACCAGGGCTACCGATAGGCATTCCCCAGCAGAGAAGGCCCTTGAGGCAAACATGGTGCTGCCTGGACAGGCGGCTCTGGCCGTGAGGCGCTGGGGTGAGGCCTAACTGCCTGACGAATCCACACCTGAACAGAGCAGAGATGCTGGCACACTGCAGAAGCCCCTGCAACGGGGCATCACTGTCAGCAAACGGGGGAGCCTGCAGGGTTGAGGAACATAAGGATGCTAATCCAGACCACACTTTGAAAAAAAAAAAAAGCTAATCTGGAAAAAAAAACCCCATAGAAATACACAGTACTGTAAAGTTGCATGCCTGCCACCGGAGCAGTGGTGACTTAAAATCCAATGCTCGGAGCTGGCTGCAGATCTGAGAGGTTGGTTCTACCCATGGCTGAACAGAAACACATGGCAGCCTCAGCATTCTGCTGCGTCAACAGGGAACCTTCCTGGAGTTAATACCTCAATCAGTTATTAATGGAAGCTGATTGAGAACATAATATTAAAGTTCACGCTCGGTAAGGAATCATTGAGACCTTGTTTTCGCCGAGGACCACATTTCTGACCACAAGTTTCTGGGTATCAGTTAACCTTTTGTCACCCCCCCCCATTTATTTTCCTTTGCACTTTGCTGCAGGAGATCTCTCCATCTGCCGGTGAGCATGGGGACAGTTGTCCTCAGAACACGGCCGTCGGGTCAGGATCATCTCTGCCCTCGGACTCCTCTGTGGCAGTGGCTGGCGACAGCCTTCTATCCCGTAGCAAAGGTCCTGACGTGGGATTGCTTGAGACTCACCTGTCACCCTTCCAGGAGCAAGTCTCAACAGATTCCACACTGTGCATTTTCTCAGATGCTCAAGAGCCTTCTTCCTTTGAAGCCAAAAGAACCTCTGTCTGCCGTGACGTTGCTACCTCTGCAGTTGCTGTTTGTGCTTCTCTGGGGGCGAGCGTGGGTCACACTGCCTCGAGAAGTCACAGTGCGGGGCCACGAGACCACAGCCGGGCTGCAGGGGAGACTCTGCCACAAAGCTCCCCAGACAGGAAAACGATGACAGAGGGTGTGACTCCATCACTCTTGCCAGGGACACCTTCATCTGGGCAAAGAATTCCGGGTTCAGTCCCACTGGGATCCATTGGAAAAACCCATCTTGAAACTCCAGCTTCAGGACCAGGGTCAGCTGGTCCACATCAAGAGGAAGGAAAACACAAGACGTGTTTTCCTTCCGGGGGGCAGCAAGGGTGTGGGGAAGGGCTGGTCCCCTGCCCTCCTTTAGGAAAGGACGGTGGGAAACGTCAAGTATCTGGATTCGTGGCTCTAAAGGATGGTGTGGTTCCTTCCAACCCAGAGGAGCCCACGGAGACCCCTGGAGTCCCTTTGAAAACCCTCAGGAAGAGGAGTTTGGAAGGAATGAGAAAGCAGACCCGAGTGGAGTTCAGCGACACCAGCAGCGACGATGAAGACCGGTTGGTGATAGAAATATGAAGCTTCCGGAGAAAGATGGCGTCGACGGTCAAAGACTGCGGATGCCTTCCGGGAAGCGCCATCACGCTGCCAGGAGAACTGAACTCTACTTGTGAAGCACCGGCAGCTAGGAAAGCCATCTGGGGTTCTTTCTAAGATATCCTCCACCAACTCTGAAAGCCAAACTCAGCCTCACCATTCCCCAGAAGCCCTGATCACATGGTGCCAGGCAGGGCTAAGGGACCAATGAAGCAGGGTCTAAGAAGGCTTCATCCACGTGATGACTGTGGCCTGACTCCCATCTATACCCTCTGCGTTGGTCCCTCACTGCCTGATTCATTAAAATGGCATCAACCCAGAGAGCCACAGTCAACCTGTTTACAAACAAGTGAACCCCACAGAGTCAAGGCGATAGGCTTCCTGCATTTGTGAAGTGGGGGTTTGCTGCAAAGGTGGTGAGCATACTTGGGGTAACCGGGGTCACTTGCAAAGGAGTTGGGGTGTGAACTGGGCGTCCAGATCCTTCTGTCCATTGTGGAGACAAAATCCAGATTAATTCAGAAACTGGAGTTTGGTTGGAATAATGTGCCTCCTAAGCAGAAGTTGTAAATATACTTCAAAATGCCTCTGATCTGGCGACACACTGAGTATCCTTCAATGTTGCACAAATGGTCAGTGCTTCTGTGTGACCCGGTGTGTGGCCACAAGCATGTGCCGCTCTCGTGCCCGACGCCTTCTCTGTGGAGACCCCTGAAACCTGTTGATTTTCCAGCTCTTGCGAAAGGAACGCTGTGTTAAAAGTTAATAGAACATTCTCTGTAATGAGTCATTTTTGAGGGGGAAAAATTCACTTATTTTCCTCTGCTTCTTTCTGTCATGTTGTGCTCTGAGCAATTTCAATTAGCAGGTTACACTTTAGTGATCTCTGCAGCTTAAACTGACGCCTGCTCATCACGATGGGAGCCTTTCAGATTTCCTCCAGAAGCTTCAAGGATACAAAACTAATTGGAGTTTTGACGCTGTTTTACATCTCAGTAATTTTATTTTGGGGGCTTGGTGTTACTTTGCTGTCAAATTAAATCAGCCTCTACATTGTGCAGATCAGAACAGCACAGACAACGTTCCCCAGCGTTCCAAGCCAGCGGGAAATAGCGGGTGTGTGTCACCCAGCTCGGGGAGCAGAGCCTCACGTTTGCTACCCCCTCTCCCTCTCCTTAGATGGGAGAGGAAACACGCAAGGCGATTTACATTGCTGCATTTCGATACAATTTTTTACTTGCTGTTTGGTGTGATTTTGTACGATTTGAGGTTCACAGCCGAGCTCCTTGGGCTTCACTTCGATGTGACGATGCCCACTTGACATCCTGTGCTTCGAAGGTGGGGCCGCAACGCAGAACACCTCCCACACGCGGAGGCGCTTTGATACGTCCTCGTCTGTGACAAAGGATGGTCAGGTTTCAAGTGAATTTTCCAGTTCTAGGGTTATTCATAGAAAAACTTCAAAGTGGGACCAGCTTCCCCTGGTGACTTAGCGTGTGTCTGTGGTCATTTCCAATGACCACACTCAGACGCCGCCAGGTCACGTCCAACCCGGCCAAGAAGAACGTGAGAAAGGAGGTAAAAAGAGGTTAGGTGCTCACTTCACGCACTTCTTGAACCAAAGGGAAGTGACGTAACTGCCCGCCCTTTGGACTGTCCGTGCCGCTGTACGGAGGGGAGGTCCGGCAAAGCAGTCTGCATCCCGGACGGGGAGAGGGAGCGAGGGCCTGGCCTTGTCCTGAGCTGGCCGGGCAGTCCTGGGGAAGACTCGTGTGCTCTCTGCACCTCGGCTTCTCCGACTGAGAATAAGGAAGTAAGGCAAGATGGGCTGAAGGTGACTCCAGGCCCCGATCCTCATGAGAGTGGCTCAGAGGTGGTCCCCACGGGGAGGGATCCCCCTCCCGGGAGCTGAAGAATAAATACCTTCGGCCAATTATTGCCAAGAAGAATGAGAGCTCAGGGAAACTCCTGATTTTTTCCCCAGAGATCTGAATTTTGAGGTACAATCATTCAGTGTAGAAATGGCAGCTCATAATTCAAAAACTAGAAGCAAACAGAGCACCGCTGTGTGAGTGGAAGACAGCACCTCTGTCCGCTGAATTGGTTACTTTGTCTTGGGAGGCACCGGGCGGGGGAGGAAACTTTCTTCCAGATCCTCCTCTGCTGTGTGGCTGCTGCGCTGTGGGCCGGATCACTGGACTAAGGCAGTAAGTCACAGCTCCCAACAGCACCGGCCTCGCATCAGGTCAGGTGGAAGCTCTGTCCTTCTGCGAGCCACCCTTGCTGGCCACCACGTCCTAACTAAGATCAAACACGGCGGAACATTGAGTCCCTCCCTGACTCCCTGTCTCTCTTACACAGAGGTGAGCAAGTCACCACAGGTTCCTGTCTTAGCCCATCATTTAGCTGTTCGGTGGCAGCATTTACAGGTGTACCTTACTTTATACCAACATGAATCTATGAAAAGCTTTATTTCAGTGGATTAAAAAACACACAAATAAAAGATGTATTTTGAATGGCCCTGGGGGACTTAACTATTAAAAATCATCCCATAGTAAATATCTTTTTTTAAATAAGAAATCGTTTTCTAAAGCAACACAGCATCCCTGATTTTATAAATCTTAATTTTCCCGTGGGTTTTCTTAGAGCAGACTGCTGTCATAAGGGTGCAGTTCCAGGATGACGTTGGTGACCTGTAACCCAGTCTGGGTTACCGGAAATAAAATTTCAGTATTATCAGTTGATAATCACTGCGGTTTTTAACTCTGTGAGTGTGTCCTGGGTAACGGTTAAGGGGAAACAAGTGAATCTGAGAACAGGGCAAGTCGGAGTTTAAAGGTCAGTGTTCCTCCTCCTCCTCAGTGCTGTTCATTTCCCTGCACCTTCAGGTTAGGGTCTCAGCCACTGGGTGCCTCAGCTTCTTCCACAGAGAATAGCTCCGAGGATGCTGGCAGGAACTTTGAATTCTTTGCCGTTCCTTCAGGGCAAGGGGTACAGATGCCAAGAGCCGTGATGTTTGAGACGCACTACCAAGGTTCTTTCTCCAGCCGTACCTACGCCTGGCCCATCTCACTCACTAAGGACGCACGGAGGACAGAGGTTTCATGTCCCCCCTTGGCAACCTAGACTATTAAGTGACTCTTACAGTCACGTGGTTTGGGCTGGACGACCTGAATCCTTCTTGTTGTAAGGTGTGGTGGAAACAACTCGTACCTCCCGTTAGGTATGGCCTTTGAGATTCTGGATGAAGCTGACATCTCTCTCATTTACAACCCAGGAGAACCTATGGTTCTTTTGCCAAAAGATTAAAAGAAGACGGGGGATTGGTGCTTCTGGATCCTAATCCAAACCCCGTCAGTAGCCTGACGAGTAACTGAGGGCAAGTTAACCTCCTCCTTCCTGAAAGCCCTCCTCTAAAGCTCTGGTGGGGAGAGCAGCCTTGCAAAGACGCCTCGTGGCCACAGTTCCGGGCATGACAGATGCACGCTCTGCAGCTTCATGTCAAACGTATTTCCTTACATTTCCATTCATTACGTAGGACGATCACATTTTTCATTTCTTCCCCAGCATAGAAATTTGCATTTTGCGCAAAATTTGCCTGGTGCAGCAGATTTTTATAGTTATGGGAACTGTCACCGTTATCAGAATGTGCTGCTACTCAAATCCGCAGACGTAATTTCATCCGGCGAGGAGAAAACGGCCTGCCGGGCTCCGGGGCGGTCGCATTTCCACAACTGCCGCGAGCAGGGCTTACGCGTTTCCCCCGCTTCAGCTGCGATTCCCATGATTCTTGTGAGGGAGGCTCCGGCTTTGGAGCGCTACGCTTCTCAACGCGTAAGCACAATTTCTTGTCCCTCTCTTGCAGATACTCATTCAGTAAAGGTGTCAGGACCCCAGAAAATCCTGTGTGCTGGATTTGTACCCTGTGTAGTGCTTTTCACCCGTGCTCTGTGCTTACGTGGGAATACGTATGACTCAGTCTGAGGCAGCAGAGGAACACTGAGCATATTACTTCACCCTGGAAGAGGAGAAGCCAGGGAAACCAGCCAGCCTCGGTCACTCGCAGCCCTAGAGGATGACTTAATATCTTATATATGCAGCCAACTGTTCAGAGCTTACTACTCTATCCACTGTTCAGAATCAGGAAGCGATTGGCTTCTGGGTTCTCTGTTTAACTGTAGTTCCTTCTTTATATGGTTAAATTTTTGTTTTGATAAAAATACAACTGAAAGTGAAAATGTCTTGTGTGATTTGTTAACATTTTAACCTAAACTACCATAAATAATATCCTGTTTCAATTGGATATCTGATTCTTCCTGAACAGTTGACCAACATCCTGTCCGCCATATTGGCGTCCCATTCCACTCAAGAAAGAATTCGGTAATGGCAAATGATCACATTTCCTCGTGCTGTTCGCCTTTCCTGTGTGTCTTTTCTGTCATTGTCTGCCACGTTTTATGGTTCGTAACTTAGATATGTGTTTTTAAATCCTTAAATGTAGCTAAGCTTTGAAGCCACATGAGGGCAATATCCACAGTGCAATAACCCCAAACTTTGTGCTTAAAATTGATGTTGCTTGGATATTTAATTTTATTCATTAACAGAGAAAACATCCTTAATTCTAAACAATACCTCCTAATGAAGATGAATCACCTACTCTTGGCAAGAATACGTAGACTAATTTGACACACCAATATAATATTCTTCTGTGTCTACACCTCCTGAAGCTACCTGAAGTCAACCCAGAGACAATGCCTTGGGAGGAAAAGCGGGGATGGGCGCATGCAAGGCATAGATGCGCTCACTGCTGGATCTTCACAGCTTTGTCACTAACGCGTCAAACTCGAATAGTGACACATCAGTCCATTGTTCCCCAACTTCCGTCTTTTGAGAACCATCTCTCTGGTTTTTGCCATTTGGATCCACATGTGGTTACATCATTTACTTAGTACTTTTATTTAAATCATCTCGATCTTAAAGAAGCTATTATTACCCTAAGCCATAATATCTGTGAAAGCCTTAGTTTAGTCTTCTGTCTGTTTTCTGATGTGCATTACAATAAAATTAAACCATTAAAATAGGTCGTCCCTGTACCAGTTAAATATCCTCTTTGTACTGCGGCCCCGCACCCCACCTACACTCGTGGACTCGTGGAGCTGATCTAAAATGTGCGCGTGCTGTTGGTTTCTCCAGTCACCCCCGTGCCTGCCGAGCTCAGCGCTCTCTCTCCAAGCCAGTAGAACGGGCCGCAAGGCGAATTGTAGGTTGATCAGATAAGTGTCTTCAGTCGAACTTTACAGCTGAGTAATTAACATGCCAAGCCAAAGGCTTATCACATCCTTTAGTCTCAAAGGAATAATCACACAATGTCTTGTTGGGTAAATACAGGCATTTTCTGTTTTAGTGTTTTATTGGTTTGGTTGGTTGGCTGGCCGGTTGGTTAATGAGTACAGGATGATATCCAGGAAAGCCCAGTAAGGGATTTATGCTGAACCACCAGCACTGCCCGCAGTTCTGCCCGAAGACCTGCTTCCATACTTCTGCACTTGAAGCAAATGAACTTGGCTGTGCTAACAGCCACGGAGAACAGCTCTCCACTTGCCCGCTTGGTGACAGCCTGCTGATCTCTGGGCGGCCAACGCACAAGGACTTACTTGGTGGCCTCTTGGACGTTTGTCTCTAGCTGTGACAGATGTCTGCTGTCAGTCTCCCTCGGCCTCTGCCAGAGGCGAATTCGACACTCCTTATAACTGGACAGCCAGGTACAAGCCCGCGCAATTTCTGCCCCGAAGTAGGTGAAGTGTTTTCTGCACAAACGTGGGAGTGAACGGATTCCTGTCCAGAACTGACGGGTTTGTGTGTGCAGCATCTGGGCAGGACCCAGCCCTGCCTCTGGCCATGGTGGCGATCTGGTTGTCTTCTATGTGTGTGTTGTGTGACATGAGTTATAATTCAGCAGAATTCAGACGGAGACCCTAGACTCCATCGTAAGT